ATATAAAAGAATATAAATTAGTCAAGTTATTTCTTGAAAAAATACATTCACTGCAAGTGGAAATGAATAATAGCACCATTTAAATCTGGATAAGACATGGAAAAAGTGCAACCATTTTATGTAACCAATTGGTTACGCAATGGTCATCTGACGTAACCAAAGAAAATGGTTACGCAGAGCATAAACCCGCAACCATTTTTCTGGTTACGCCAAAATTTGAAATTTCGTGGCCTGCAATACTATTCCCTTTCGTGTCCATTTATATTTGTCAATGTTTTAGATATGTTTAAGATAGGTTGCCAGGCAACAAAACATACGCCCACAGCAGCTAAATCGTCCGAGCGGTCGTCAAGGGTTGTCGCATATTTATTCCTTTGTAGGTAATCGGGGGCCTTTACAAGACAGTTACATACAGATCAGATTATAAATTTTGTCGTTTGAGGGTTTACAAGGTTCTACAAACTGAAACAAGGGTCTCAGCTCTGGAAGTAATCTACAGAAATTGTTGAAATTTGACAGGCTTTTTCGTTTTACTAATTTAAATAATGCATATAAATTTTATACAGATCACATGATCACTTTTGTCATTCAAACGTTCACAATCGCCATAACTCTAGAAATTATTGACGGAAATTGCTGAAATTCAATAGACCTGTTTCACAAATTTAAAGGATGCATATAAATTTCATACATATCGGATGATAACTATCATCAATCGAGCATTAACAAGGTTTAACATGGGCAATAACTCTAGAAGTAATTATTGTAAATTGCTGAAATTCAATAGCCTTTTTCGTTTCACTAATTTAAATCATGCATATAAATTTCACAAAGATCGGGTGTTAACTTTTTGCGTTAGAGCGTTCATAAGGATCAATAAAGTAAAACAAGAGCCATAACTCTAGATGTAATAAATGGAAATTGCTGAAATTCAATAGGCTTCTCCGTTTCGCTAATCTAAATAATGCATAATGCGTTCACAAGGTTCAATAAAGTGAAACAAGGGCCATAACTATAGACGTAATAAACGGAAATTGCTGAAATTCAATAGGCTTCTTCGTTTCACTAATTTAAATAATGCATGTAAATTTCAGAAAGATCAGATGATAACTTTTAGAGTTAGAGCGTTCACAAGATTCAATAAAGTGAAACAAGGGCCATAACTCTAGACATAATAAACAGAAATTGTTGAAATTCAATAGGCTTCTTTGATTCACTAACTTAAATATTGCATATAAATTTCACAAAGATCGTATATTAACTTTTGCCATTAGAGCGTTCACAAGGTTCAACAAAGTGAAAAAGGGCCATAACTCTAGACGTAATAAACGGAAATTATTGAAATTAAATAGGCTTCTTCATCTCACTAATGTAAACAACATATATCAATTTTAAAACAATTGGATGATAACTTTTGGCGTTAAGAGCGTTCACAAGAAATTGTGGACGATGGACGGGGGCGAAGGCAATATACGTCCACATTTCAATGTGGGCGTATAAAATTGTGTCCATATCTGTCAATAACCTTTTTAGATACGGTAAAAAAATGTCAATAATTATCACCTGTATTTCTATTATTTCGTGCATAAAAAAGATGTCAACATTTTCTGCTGTTCTGTGTACGGTTTACTGTTTGTCATAACCGGCAATGCAAACACCATCGGCCGATAGCCATTCAACTTTAACAATGTTTAAAAAAATAGCATACGTATCGTTAATATTTCTTGCTATTTCAACAACATATATTTCTGCTATTTCGTATACTCTTGGCCATTACCGGCAGTTCTAACTCGTCCCCATTCAAGGTCAGTGGTGTTATCAGTCAAGTTGACGAATAGGGCGGGGCATGCATTTCTACAAGCATTTTCATTGGCTCAATATAAGTCATCGGTATTAAGGGTGGGATTACAGTTAAACTGACATATTATATTGATGTTCTTCAGTCTAACCTGTCGTCGAAACGGCACATCTACTCGATGTATATGATTGACATAGGCAACCAATTCTTTCTCAATTTGTGGATAACGTGCGTCGCTTCGTCTATTGGCTTCTTTATTTGGTTTATGTGACTAAGTTCCCAACTCATAGCCGCCTTACGTTCGACTCACCCAAATTAAATTCACAACCCGTGACACTGTTACCGTACTCTTTAGCGTTTCGTTTCGCAGCCATTCTCAGTATATAATTTTTAAAAATTTGATGGAAAGTTTGTTGGTATTTTCTATACATTGCTGTTAATTTTTTCCAGCCGTTTCAAGTTACCGCTAGTTTTCATGCAACATAGATTCACTGATTAATCCATTGTTATATTTTACCGGCATCCTTAATTATTCACCGGCGATTTGTCACAGTATGTTTTAAGCGGCGTTTACACGATACAATCAATCCATACAACCGTCGGATGCAACCCTCGCATCCGACCAACTGATCAGACAAATGGTCGGATGGACGGCTTATTGCATGGATAGGATCAGTTCTATTCTCATCCGACCAACTCATGCAATAGCCAATCAAAGTGCGTTATATTAGACAACGTCATAGCCGTATGACGTCATATCTGACTTGGCAACCAGAATTCCTGATTAAAGATGTCTTCTTCTGTCGCTTCAAGTACTTTGATGTCCTCTAAAATGGATCTAAACCTATCCTGGACTGAATTAGAAAATCTAATAACTCTGTATAGGAAGCAAGGTCTTTGTTGAACCCGCGGCATCAACACTTCACGAAGACGGGGGTGAGAAGTGTCGTCTAACTGCCATTTTATTCAGTTACTAAGAAGGAATAAATGTTGCCATACAACGACTAGAACCATCGTATCGTGTAAACAGTCGTCCAATATGTTGCATCCAACGGTTGTATGGATTGATTGTATCTTGTAAACGCCGCTTTATGAAGTTGTTTTAGTTCACAAAATCATTGTTTCTTTGATTGGTATTAAAAATGCTATTTTATTAAGTTACTGATAGATCTAAATGGCTACAATCGAGGTATTGTCATGCTGCGTGTAGTGGCCGGGGCAATAGACGCCATCGTTTGTCAGTTATTTGGATAGTATAAAGTAAACTAGAATTATTGTTTCTCTTTTACCGGTAGTCAGGATTTAAGTCGTGAGTAGCTGATCATGATAAATTATTTCTACAGTTATTATTTCATTTGTTTATCATCAATACCTATTCATTTATCACAGCCAATTGCTCGTGAATTTAACAGGATGTAATAGACGGCGATGTTTGTTGTGGGTGGGACTTTAACGACAATTTGTCTACCGTACGAGCGCCAGAATTACCATTTAAGTTATGAAACAATGCAATTGAAGTTATAATTAACATAAAGTCTTATGCAATTCAAAAGATAGGTTGCCAGGCAACGAAACATACGCTCACAGCAGCTATATCGTCCGGGCAGTCAACAAGAGTTGTCGCATATTTTTACTTTTTTCGGTAATGAAACATTTATAATACATCAAAATCTGATTAAGAGTAACAACTCATTAAGTAATTATCAGAAAACCATTAGAATTTGTTTGGTTTTTATAAAGTATACAAAACTTTTAACATCATGGATTTAGCTGTTCAAGTCATAAAGATTCATTGAAAATCAATATACTTGTTCATCTCAAGACCTTAAACTCTGTGTATCAATCTGAAGTCAATCGGATGATAACTTTAGCCTCTAGAGCATCACAAGATTTTTCAAAGTGATCAAGGGCCATAACTCTGGCAGCAATTATCCGAAATCGCTGAAAATCAATAGGCTTCTTCGTCTCATGACCTTAAACACTGTGTATAAATTTAAAGTTAATCGGATATTAACTTTGACCTCTAGAGCGTCCACAAGATTTTTTGAAGTGATCAAGGGCCATAACTCTGGCAGTAATTATCGGAAATCGCTGAAAATCAATAGGCTTCTTCGTCTCATGACCTTAAACACTGTGTAGAAATCTGAAGTCAATCGGATATTAACCGACAGACCGACGGACGGACGGGGGCAACAACAATATACGACCACAATTCAATGTGAAACTTACAATCAGTAGAAACAGGAAACACAAACCATGTACAGACGGTTTGATGGGATCAATTTTGACTAAGTCAAAATGATGCATTTGATATTCAGATAAGTTTATATAAAAAATTATGACCTCTATAGGGTCCACAAGCTAAAAACGCAATTTTTCGTACAATCAGGGGCCATAATTCAGGAAGTTACGTTCCGATATGCACGAATATCGAGATCTTTGGGTTATAAGCATACATTTCAAGTTTAAACCAAATCGGATAAAAATTGTGACCTCTACAGTGTTCACAAGCTAAAAATGTGATTTTTCGTACAATCAGGGGCCATAATCCATGAAGTTACGTTCCGATACATGCCAATATCGAAAGGAACCGAGATCTTAGGGTGATAAACCTATATTTCAAGTTTCATTGAAATTGGATAAAAATTGTGACCCTGTAGACCGTTCACAAACAATTGTGGACAGACGTCCGGACGTCCAGGGGCGACGACAATATATGTCCACATGAAAATGTGGGAGTATAAAAATAGTTATTCAGAATCGTAGATTGAAGTAGGCTATATTTCAGCCGCTGGCTGTCAGATTTCATGCTAAAATTACATGACCTGAAAATCCTACTTGAATAATGCAAATTAATTTCATACAAATCAGATGGTAATGTTAACAACATTTATAAATTTTTAAAAGATTGGACAATAAATGTAGTCTAAAGTGTTCAAAAACTGCAGCCTCTATCACGTTCAGAAGCCAATTATTGACGGACCATCGGAAAGGTTAACGACATAATACACATACACTGAATGGTGGCCGTATAAAAATCGGGTGACTACATAATATGTCCACATGAAAATTTTGGTATACAAAAACTGTACTCTCTTTTAATTCACAATCCAATTGACCAATGGACAAAAAGAAAAGAGTAAAGACAATATTTTCCGTATTTTGGGCACCAAATGTCTTGCAACAAGATGAAAAGGTTTACTTGTCTGGTAACAGTGATTTCTTCATATTGTTCATAGCCAAGTGGACTCTGCTTTTTATCATGATTGTCAAATGTAATGCTAACAGTAGCCTTTGAAACACCAGCTTGTCCACATTTATATACCAAATCTTGCAAATTTCCAGCTCTAACCTGAAGTTAAAATATAGTAAATATAAAATTTAAGCTACAATACATGTACTAAAGCCATTATACAACAAGGTGACTCAATACCAGAGAGTCCAGCCATGTGAATGTCAGTGTTGAAACATTTTGAATGGCTAGATGGATCTTCAATATGGGTCAATTGTAGTACAATGGGTCTTTTGTCAGATGTAGAAAGCGGACATATTGTAAAACCGGTTGCCACATCCGGCATATGACCCACTACATTCTTTTCTTATTACACATCTTAAAGGAGCTAAATCGCTAATATTTGGGACCTAGAAATTGACCCAAATGGGTCGCAAGTATATAATAATGTAATCTGATTTATTCTTTAAATGGCATTTAGTAATTGGAACATAATCAAATAACACACTATTTATGGATAACAATTACTGTGGTTTATTTCACTGCGACGTTTCAACAAGATTGTGTTATATGCTTGATAACGACTTGTGAAATCTTGTTGAAACGTCGCAGTGAAATAAACCACAGTAATTGTTATCCATAAATAGTGTGTTATTTGATGTAATCTGATTGTTTTTGAACTGATTTTCATTCAATTGTTTCCGTTTTGACTCTTAATTTCAAATCAGTTAGGTCCAGCGAAATACGGTACAAGTCTCAACCGAATAGAAATTTCTAGCATCTAGTTATTCCAGTCTATTGTGCATGCCGTATGACATGAGTTGTGGAATATGTCTAGCCTCGCTCTTTCTGGTCACTTGTTTCAAATGACGATGAAACACACTATGGTACACGAATCGTGTACCAATGGTAAAATGTTTATTTTGTCTTAAATATTGGATATCAGAAGCCTACCCTTTCCCGGTAAGATTACAGCATCAATGTTGATTTGAATTGACAAATAATTCGTGTTTTCAACGTGTAAGACATTATATGATATTGAGTTAGAGACTTAGCTACTATAATAGCCTTGTGATCGTCTAGTATTTGTAATTGTCGTCTTTGCTTCCTTTTCACGCTGTGTATTTTCTTTTTCTTTTTCTTATCTAAGTAGGAAAGACATTTATCTTCTCATTAGTTAAGACGTATGTTTTACCAGAATAACAATGCAACAGTTCAGTTCTACATTTTATATATCAAGCTGGATACATATGGTACAATGCATAATAGATTACAATAAAGTCATTCTCCCAATCACATTCAACCCAGACTCGCTGGGTGATTCTGCTGATAGAAATTTCTACATCATATGGTCTAGGAACTCAGATGGCAATCTCTCCAGAATCCAATGAAATCTGAACTTAAAGGCTTGCCAGGGTCTCTATTATAGAACGCATATGGACATCACGCACAGACCAGGCTATTAATGACCCTGAATCTGTGCAATTACTGATATAATTGGTTACTGAAACCAAATGATGCAATTACTAAATTTCCAATCATGCGTTAAACATGATATTTTGATTCCCACGAAACCAGTTGTGTTTACCAAACCCATCATTCATTATTTGAGTGCATAAGAAACATGACTTCTATACAATATGTGAATCTAATAATTATTTATAGATATATTTTTAATACAATGCTATTAATTTAAAGGGCAAAAATTCTACCAATCTTACTACACAATTCCATGCCAATGTTCCACATTTGCACATGATAAGGATGAAGTCCAATGCATTTTTTTTTTTTTTCGATAGAACATGTTGAAGTTATTAGGGTTTTACACTATTGTTTTTGTTAAGATTATCAGACTTTTAGATTTTGTCACTTACAATCTCCAGATGGATATATGCCACCATTACAATCTCGAAAGTACATGTACTACCTAGAACGGAAATGAAATGAAATGGGGTTTAACGTCCTAAATGAAATGAAATGAAATGTAATGGAGTTTAATGTCCTACTGTTCTGCTCCTAAACTGGGCTAATGAAGATGGGCATACGCCATACAGTGTGCTATGAGGGAAAATTTTGCCAGGGCAGCGGCGCTACGGCCTACTCTTATATCGAATTCCAACTGCCAAGGGATCTTTTACGTGCACGCCTATATGTACACGGGACCTCGGTTTTTCGTCAAATCCAAACGACTAGACAGCTGTCCTTGTCAGGCCCTCCGTCCTGCATCACTGACAAGGGGACCTAGAACGGAAGTGCACAAATGATCGCAAACCGGAAGTCGATCGTAGTTTAGAAATTTCTTTGGCTATTCCAACCAGCGCCTGCCAGGCAGGATACGCCCACATTTTGCAAAAGATGGATAGAGAACAAGCTAAACAAAAAGCGATGATCCGATATGAGTGAATATCGACAGTGACCAAGATCTTTAGGTTATAAAGATATATTTCAAGTTTCATCAAATCCGATCAAAATTGTGGCCTCTAGAGGATCTACAACCTTGAAATACCATATTTACACTATTTGCATGCGAGGGGCGGCCATTTTGTCTGGCAATTTTGGTCTGATTTTCACAAAAAATCAAACTCGGCCACCATTAGGGTGTAACGGTGATATATTCAAACGTTTTTTTAAATCTGATAAAAATTGTGACTTCTAGAGAGGAACCACAAGCTAAAAATGCGATTTTTCGTAAAATCAAGGGCCATAATTTGGGAAATTAAAATCCGATATGCGCAAATATTGAATGGAACCAAGATCTTTGAGTTATAAACATAAATTTCAAGTTTTATCAAAATCGGATCAAAATGATGATCTCTAGAGAGGGTCCACAACCTCGATACATGTACCATATATTTTTACACTGTTTGTGATTACAGTGAAACGGTGATATATTCAAACGTTTTTTTAAATCGGATAATAATTGTAACCTCTAGAGGGACCACAAGCTAAAAACACGATTTTTCATACAATCAGGCACCATAATTCAGGAACTTACGATCCTATATGCGCAAATATCAAAGGAACCAAATCTTTGGGATATAGATCTATATTTCAAGTTTCGTCAAAATTAAATAAAAATTGTGACCTGTAGAGTGTGCACAAACAAATTGTGGACGGAAGTACAGACAAACATCCAAACGGACAGGGGCGACAATATACGTTATTCAAATGGTATTGGAATTGGATTCCTCTCTCTTTATATTTATTTGGATTCACATGAAAATGTTGGCGTATAAAAATCATTATTTTTGCATAGATTGTAGCAGTTGACAATTTCGAAATTTACGACCGAAAAGTTGTTTACAAAACAATTTTTGTTATTTTTAACCAGCGGCTGCCAGGCAGGATACGCCCACATTTTCGAGAGATGGATAGAAAACAACCTAAAACGGAAGTGATTTTTCCTACAATCAAGGGCCATAATTCAGGAAATTACAATTCGATATGCGCAAATATCGAAAGGAACCAAGATCTTTGGGTTATAAACTTACATTTCAAGTTTCAACAAAATCGGGTCCACAACCTTGATATACCATACATGTATTTTTACGCAATTTGAGAACGAACGGTGGTCATTTTGTCTGTCAGTTTTGGGCCGATTTTCACGAAATTCGAACTCAGTCGTCCTTAGGGTGTAACGGTGATATAATAATATGATTTTTTAAATCGGATAAAAAATATGACCTCTATAGGGTCCACAAGCTAAAAACGTGATTTTTCGCACAAACAAGGGTCATAATTCAGGAAGTTGCGGCCCGATATGCGCGAATATTGAAAGGAACCGAGATCTTTGGGTTATAAACTTAAATTTCAAGTTTTAACAAAATCGGATAAAAATTGTGACCTCTATAGTGTCCACAACCTTGATATACCATATTTTTACGCTATTTAAGAACGAACGGTGGCCATTTTGTCTGTCAGTTTAGGGCCGATTTTCATGAAATTCGAACTCAGCCATCCTTAGGGTGTAACAGTGATATATTAACACGGTTTTTTAAATCGGATAAAAATTATCACCTCTATAGGGTCCACAAGCCCAATCAGGGGCCATAATTCATGAAGTTACGGTCCGATATGCGCGAATATCAAAAGGAACCGATATCTATGTGTTATAAATTTACATTTCAAGTTTCAACAAAATCGGATAAAAATTGTGACCCCTATAGGGTCCACAACCATGATATACCATATTTTTACACTATTTGAGAACGAAGGGCGGCCATTTTGTCTGTCAGTTTTGGGCCGATTTTCACGAAATTCGAACTCAGTTGTCCTTAGGGTGTTACGGTGATATATTAACAGGGGCCAGAATTCAGGAAGTTACGTTCCGATATGCGCGAAAATCGAAAGGAACCAAGATCTTTGGGTTATAAACTTACATTTCAAGTTTCAACAAAATCAGATAAAAATTGTGACCTCTACAGTGTTCACAAGCCAAAAATGTGATTTTTCGTACTCAGGGGCCATAATCCATGAAGTAACGGTCCGATACATGCCAATATCGAAAGGAACCGAGATCTTAGGGTGATAAACCTATATTTAAAGTTTCATTGAAATCGGATAAAAATTGTGACCTGTAGACCATTCACAAACAATTGTTGACGGACGTCTGGACGGACGGACGGAAAGGGGCGACGACAATATACGTCCACATGAAAATGTGGGCGTATAAAAATTATCACATTTGACGTACATTTCTGGATACTGAAGCCTGCCCAATTTCAGCAATATAAGTTTTATTCAGAGTTATCACCCTTTATTTTTCGCATTTTTAAAAAATTTCTGCCCATTTTGAAAACTTTTTTTTTTTTTTAAAAACGGCACAATCTATGTTTTTGAAACTTCTTGAGCATGAAATCATGTGCACAAGCCTTTGAAAAAAACTATCCCGACGTCCACGATTTCTTCACATTTAATACATTTTTATAGATTAAAATAACTGGTGCACAATAGCCATGCATCAGAACACCTGATCGTAACGATAGGTCTAAATTATTAGTGATATGCTTCTAAGTTAAACGTTCGTTAATTCATTCATTCTTGGCATTTCATTTCTTCATGATCTTTCCCTTCTTTCACAGGTTACGAAATGACCTGTTCCAATCACGTTGATGATCTGT